CCTGCTGCTCTGCTTGCACGAGGCATTATGGCAGAGTAGCGACTGTACATAGGCCCTCGGGGACACAAGTCATACTTGCTTAAGCCACCACTACACTCGAAGCTGTCTTCACAGAGCAAAAATGATTGTGCTTGCAAAATAAAAAACAAGCCCGGGCGATATTTTCCCTTTCCACTGGCAGTGGAAGGGCCTGGGGCACACATTCTGTGCCGGCCAAGTACGATAGTCACCTTGACCCCCCCGTGTCAGCCAACAAGCACGAGTACGAGTATGCATGGGTTGTGTGTGATGTTTGGGAGAGTGCTGGCTTTAGACACTTCAATTACTCAACGGGGGTGGGAAAGATGAAAAGGGAGGGCGCAGCTACTGGCGAAGCGCCTGGTCTTTGTGTTAGCCAGGCCCCCGCCCACAACCCCATCCTACTCCCTGACCACTGCTGTTAGGGAAAGGGGCCAAGATATCGTTTGTTGATGATTGTGAGGTGGCTATGCTTGCAGATTTGAGAGAGGAAAGAATTTGAGAGAAGAATAATGCAAATTTGACGAGCACAATGAAAGAAACGAGAAATACTATGTTACGCAGCATGCCAGTGCGAGCAACTTCCACCTGGGGATCGTCTCCACACCCCCAATCCTAATCAAGTGGAACACCAAGAAAACGCAAAAAAAAACTGCACGCAACTTGCTGCCACACGGGTACGGGTACCACATTGCGCACACCTATAGGTTGCAACACTTGCTGAACACACCGTAAAAAAAAACAGAAAACAATTAAACCACCCTTGTTTACATCCCCAAGCAAAGATGATGGCGATGAAACACTGCGGCGACCGAGTTGAACTTTGACGGATTCATGACGCTCTGTGCAACCTCACCACACTTACTCCACCAGCCCTCGGCCACCCTTTTTTCCACGCGCGCGCATTGTTGCCCTCCCTCACATTCTTCCCGTCTCTCAACAATTCAAGACCTTACCGTTTGGTGTTCCCACTCTTCAAACCATCACTCCCCTTCCCAGATGTTATGTTCCAATAAACTGGTTAACCCGCCGCCACATAGTTGGTGGCTCCGACTTGCCAGGGGGAAAAGGCTGGCGGTGCCCATTGTTTTCCCTCCGCGCACGGCAGAAGTTTGTTTGGGTCAGGAGAAAACGCTTCAAGGGGACTTGCAGGTTTGAGATGTGTTTTTTGATACAAACATATGCTCATCACGATACTGTTTGTTGAGGCGCAGCAAGCTTTCAACTGGCTTGTGGCTGCCCACTGTCGCTGTCGTGGCATCGCCTGCTTTCAACTGGCTTGCGCCCACCCGTGCTGCTTGCTGCCGCTTCCTACTGCCTCGTGCCGCTTTCCATGTTCTAGCCGAAGATTCATTGGATTTTGCTCATCCTATCAATGGAAGTCGAGTGGGGCCAGCCAGTCCTATCAATTTGAAAACAGGGTTGGAGACTCCTGTTTGCCATTGTGTTGCTCACCCTGAAATCTCTCTCTCTCTCTCTCTCTCTCTCTCTCTCTCTCTCTCACACACACACACACACACACACACACACACACACACACACACACACAATCAGTTTTAGGTATGTTTGTTTTTCCTCTTTCTCCTAATTTTTCTAAATGCTTCTTGTGTCTCTAGCCGAGCACCCTCTAGCAGTGCCAAACAGTCGGTGGTTCCTCGTTTGGAGTGCCGACTGCACTCTTAGGGGGGCCGCTCGGTTCGGGATGTCTGTGTTGCCTGTCGGTGATGACGGATGGTCGTCGGAGTGTCTCCCTGGCTCAGCGGGCGGTGGGAACCAACAGTCTGCGGGGTTCAATCGTGATGTGATTAGGTCATGTGCTGCTTTGCTCCGTGTTGGATGTGTGGACGTACTCGTCTGCGCTCCGCCGTTGCCCTGCTGCCTGTCCCGCTTGCTTCACATGTGGTTCTTTGCAGGTTGATGTGTTTGATGTGCGGTGTGGCTGTGTTGTTGGTGTTGCCTTGCGCTTCGCTGCTTCGCTGCTGTGCCGTTCATCCGCTGGTCGTGCCTCTCGGGTTTGCCGCTTGTGTGCCCCGTAGGTTGGTTGCCTTGTTGCTGGTGCCTTTTGCTCCGCTCCACGGTTGCCGAGCTGCTGGTCCGCTCGCCCTGTCATCCCCTGCAGTGCTGTTGCCTTGCTTGTGTTGTCTTGTGCTTCACTACACGGTTGACGCGCTGCCTGCCCTGCGTGCCATGTCGTCCCTTGCAGTCGTTTTTGGTGTTGTGCAGCCGTGTTGCCTCTACTGTGTTGCCTGGTACTCCACAGGGTTGCTGCCCGCTGCTATGTTCCGCTTGGGGACAGTCTGCCTTCAACAAGGGTCAAAGGGTTCATGACCCAAACCATCAAATACGAAGATTCCGCAAATTGTCAAGGGTTCAGCCTCCTGATGAGTCGGTGCAACTCCGACGAAACAATCTATCATGTTTCTTTAATTTTATTCTTATTATTATTCTTATTATTATTACTTTTTTTTTCCGCTTTGTGTTTTTTTACTTTTTTTTCTTACTGCTTGTTCTTTTGTCTGCCTCGGTGTCTTGTTGCCGGGCTGCTGTTCTTTTCTTGCTGAGTGATGTTTGCCTGCCCACCTGCCTCCCCCATGCCCTCCAGCCTACGTTCTGTGCTGTTGCTTCGCCGCCATAGTGCCACTTCTTGACTTGTTGCTGCCTCATTCTTCTGCCTAGTACTGATTGTCTGCCCGCCTGCCTCCCCCATGCCCTCCACCCTTTGTTCTTTGCTGCAGCTTGTCACCCAAGTACCGTGTTGCGCCTTGTCTTAGCCTTGCCATTTTGCTTGCCTTGTTGTACTTATCTTACCGCTGGTCGGTTTGCTTTCTGTTGTTCTTTTTTCCCGGCTTTTGAAAGCTGGGCATTATAAGCATTTTTTTCTATGGGCATCCCTGGCTGCGGGCTCTTTCCCTGTGTTGTTTATAAGCACGCTTTCCGACGCAACATGCTGCGACGCCGTCGCAGAAGCCAAGTGATACAAATATAACACACACACACACACACACACACACACTCTGTCTCTCTCTCACACACACACTCTCTCTCTCTCTCACACACACACACACTCTCTCTCTCCCTCACACACACTCTCTCTCTCTCTCTCTCTCTC